AGAGCGGGGCGCAATGGCGGCGCGGCGCTGAGGGGCGGCGGACATGGGCCGCAGGGAGCGCGGTGCGTGAGTGTGTCATGACAGCGTGCGCGTGTCAAAGAAAATGTGTGTGAAAGTGTGTGCGTGTGAATAAGTGCGTGCCTGCATGTGGGTGTGAGAGTGCACACGCATGTGCCCATGTCTGAACGTGATGGAGGTGCGAGGCGCGTGCAGGTGTCGTCGCGCCGCGCTGTGTCCGCGTCCGCACGCACACCCCCGACGCGGCGGCGGCGGCGCCCGCGTCTCCTGCCGCGGCTCTCCTGATCCTCCTGGTCTTTGCTTCCAGACAGAAAGAAGTCCAAGAAGCGTCACTACGACGACGAGGACGACGACGATGATGACGCTCCCGGCAGGGAGTCGCAGGAAGCCGTCCCGTCCGCCGCGGGGAAGCAGGTGGAAGAGGCCGTCGTCAAAGACGAGTACGGCGCGAAGGATTACCGGCTGCAGATGCTGCTCAAGGGCGACCACGGCTCGCGCCCGCTCGGGGTGGTGAGCGCCGCCGGGCAGCCGGCTTCCTCCTCCTGTTTTGCGGCGGCGTGTCGCGGGGCACGGTGTCGTTTCGGGGGTAACTCTATGAACGGCTTTTAAAATGGGGGGTGGTTTGGGTCATCCTGAACGAGGGGCTGACGGAGGTAGCGCAGCACGCGGGGAGGAGCTGTGCTTTCCTTCCCAGGCGAGGGTCAAGAGCGAATGATTTGGGGTTAGTAAAAGCAGTCGCTTGATTCCCTGTGTTGGGGAGAGCCGTCTTGTTTGATGGGCTCTCCGCAAAGGGAAGGTGCGTTACGTGGAACCGATCAGTGGGTAAGATGAAGGTGGTCTCACTTTTAATCTTCGTTTGCGTCCGTCCACGTGGAGCGCTCTTCGTGGCTGGTCTGACCCTCGCCCACCGTCGCTGCTAGTTATGTAGCAGCAATTGCCGTTGCGCCGCAAATCGCTCGTACTAGGGATAGAAAGGGGTCTCCGTCTTTCACCCGCAGCATTATCCGTTTGGCATCTTTTTCTTCTTCTCTCTCTCAGGCTCCCGATGGCCACATTTTCCTTGAAGCCTTTTCTCCCGTTTACAAATACGCACAGGACTTTTTGGTCGCTATCGCAGAACCCGTGTGTCGACCAAGCCACATACACGAGTACAAGCTGACTGCTTACTCGCTTTATGCCGCTGTCAGTGTCGGTTTGCAGACGAGCGACATCACGGAGTATTTGCAGAAGCTGAGCAAGACCGGCGTCCCCGATGGAATAGTGCAGTTTATCAAGGTAAGGCCACGCTATGGAAGACTCGTTTCCCCTTTATTATTCTCTGCTGTGTAAATACGGGTGTTACCTTTTTTTAAAGTAGGTTTGATGCAGCCTCTGACACAAGAATGCATGTGTACACACACACACGCACACCCTGAGGCATAAAATGGCAAGTAAAAAGGTCAGATCCTGTTGCCATTGCTCATATGAATAACTTAACCAAGGTCAGTATAACCGTCTGGCCCACGGCGTGGAATCATCCTTGCTGTGGGCAATAACCCTTCACCCTGGCAGAAACCACAAAGCTGAACTATTAAATGACATCTCGAGTCATTAAATGACAAAGCTGAACTATTAAATGACATCTGTTTGAGTGCTCAGTGCGATGAAAGAGCAGCGGTAAGACTGTACTGTTAAAATCAGTACAAAGTCATGCCAAAGCGAAGGTTTCAGCGGGTGCATCGACACGTCTGTGGCGCACGTTCTTTGTGCGCTTTGAAAAATATTTTTGAATCGGCAGCAATATCGTAAGGTAAGATGCGTGTAGACCAAAAAAGCAGTAGAAAATAGTCAATCGGGAATTAGGAACATTAATATAAAATAGCTTTACTATAAGTAGGAATAAGTGGCAAAAATAATGGTTGTTCAGTTAACCTTATTATCAGTCTTATGTTTGCATTAATGAAGCAGGATGCAGTTAAATTCTGACATTATGACATGATAATGCTATAATTGATTTGCTGGAGATAGTCCTCTGGGGGAGAGAGAGGCCTTTTTTCCTTCAGTGGGAACTTAACATTTGTAGATTATCACAGACCAAAGCCAGAACTGGACTTCAGTGACTCTTTCATGATTCCTTTTTCTCCTTTTCTGTGAACTGCATGGTACTGAAGTGATCTTTGTGCCTTGATCTTTGCTGCTCCTACACTGAGAATGTCCTTTCTATGCAGAGCTGAGGTCTTTTTCAAGCCCCATGTGTTATCTGATGCCTGCAAGAAATTGCCCAACTAATGATTTATATGTTGAGGCTGATGTATTTGACAGATCTCAATACATAGTCACCTTTTCACTTGTTCATCATTAGAGCATCTAGTCTCTGTGGGCAGCATCTACTCAATAGCTTTAATGGAAGTGTTTGCATTACCTTCTGCTTTGTGAATAGGGCACCAGCACCCGCCTGCTGGTCCTGCAAGGATTGTTTTTAATTAGAGCAGGCACGATCAGACCTGTTATCAGCCGAAGACACAGCCTCTCTGGGTGCTGGCTTTAGGGCAGAAGTTCCTGGAGGACATCATGGGGGTGGTGTTGTGGTTTATGGACGAGCTGCTAATTGAACAGGCTGCCACAGATTCTAGACACGCGGGAAGCTGGGACTGCTGATCTAGGATCCCGACTGCTAGAGCCTGGGACACCCGAGTTCCCTGCTCTTCCTAAATTGGGGGTGTGAAGGATTTCTCAGATTTCCCAAAGCACCTGCTTTTTGCGATTAAGTAAGGCAGAATTTAACCCAGAGTGGGATGCAAAACCCCTTGGAGAGCTCTTGCCTTTGCTACTCAGCTGGAATATGCTGCATAACCAGCTTGGGTCATTTCAGTTACCCCTCAGACTTCCCATCTGCCCTGACTGAAGGCTCTTGTGCTATGGATGGAGTAGTTTAGTTACGTAGCAAAGAGCTAGTGCACACTTTTTTGCACATGCATCAGTATGTATGTCATTAGTGAACTGTTGGGACCCAGAGGCCTTCAGGGCTGGGTTTTGACCTTTGTGCTTAACTTAAGCCATGTGCTCAGCTTGAATTGTGGTCAAGACTTGCACCTGGTGAAAAGGAGCAGATGGAAAAATACTGTTCCTGATGTAACACGAATTGGGAAGTTGGCTAACTAAATTGAATAAATATAGCCTGGGCAAAAGAGGAAAGTCAGAGCAAAACCCACCCTCACTAATGAATGAAAAGATCACCTTAGAATAGAAAACTCCAGTTAAGGGTAACCATATTTGGCAAACAGAAGCAAGATTATTCATATGCTTTAGGAGGAAAACTTAAGCTAATTTTATGCATCAAGAAATGCAAGCTATCTGGTAGATAAAGAGAGGTGAGGGAGCGTACCCTTCATATCCTACTCCTGGAAGATCTGGTCACTGATCCAAGATTCAAAACTCAGACAAAGGAGGCGGGGACCCCAGACAAGACTCATGGCCTGATCAACCAGTGACATTGCGTTGGTTATATCTTGGGGTGATGAGCACATTGAATTGCTTTTGACTAACTACAGTAATAGAATTGTAACTGGTAAGGGCTTCAGACGTTTGGTACTGGTTAAGGAGTAACCATGTCCAAGTCGTGGAATGAATACCTGGTCCAAGGCCCAAAATAATGTAACTGGAGGTAACAAAACTAACAGCTCTTGTGTCGTGCTGGATTGCGGGACTTTCTTCCTAATGGCTGTTCTTGTGTGTTCGTAGCTCTGCACTATAAGCTATGGAAAAGTAAAGCTCGTCTTGAAACATAACAGGTGAGCAGTTTTGGATTTTCATTGGTGGTGGTGGTTTTTTGTTGTTCGGGGTTTTTTGGGTTTGTTTTTAAGGGAAACCAAAGGAACCAACTTCAAACCAAAGGCAGTACTGTAAATTAGTGCAGCTGAACAGGTGGGTCTTGGAAGTTTGTTTCACCGTCCCTTTTCGAGTGTTGTGTACTTTAGCACAAATCACATGTTTGCCTGTTTGAAATGCTGTAGTACAATAGATGTTGCTCCTTGCATCTGACTGTGCTGAGTCACTAGGAACCATAGTCACACAGGAGAAGAATTTGGTATTCCAGCCCTTTCTTTACTGTGTTGGCCAGCAGGTCCCGTGAAAGGGAATTGCAAAAACCTCAGCTCGTTTTACCCATCAGAGCAGGCCAGTACATGTATTTATCTTGAGGGACAGTTGCCATGAAAAAGGATAAGTGCACTGAATTCAAGCCTGAAGGTCTTGTGGGGAACGTTTCCAGGGGACCCAGCGTGAGCATGCATTGATGTAAATAGTTTCATAAGTAGGACAGCTAGGTGCCCTTTGCACCCACAGGGTAGATGGCAATTTAGCCCTGGCGGCAGGTCGCAGAGGGCGCCTACGCACGAGCAGCAAGGCTGCTCCGACACGCTGCCATTACAGCTTGTTGGAGCAGACTCGATGAATCGTTAATTAACTGTTAATAGTTGATGCACCTCCATCGGCTGTCTGGTTTTTATTCTGATCTGTTAAGAGCAAAGGCCAAGTTCTGCTGGTCTTTGGACTGGTGCCTGATGACTTTTCTTGGATTAATGCATTTAGAAATATTTTTAGTCTGCCTGAGATCCGCGCAGGCATTTGGCTAGCTTTCGGAAGGACTGCACGCCACAGAAATCAAGACTTTTACAAAATCTACAAAAAACCTCCAGTAAATAGTTTTGTAATGTTTAATGTTTTTCATGGGTAGGTTTCAAATCTTCACAAGGGAAAGTATTGTTGCCTGGGAGGTGGTATTCTCTCTGTTCATAGCACTAGTGAGATCATTACTGAAATATTGCCACCAGGTCTGGAATTAACACTTCAGAAAAGAGCTACAAGGCTAACTGGGAATCAGGAAAATCTACCTTACTGTGAGGCACGAAGGAAGCTCAGTTTAGCTCTTCTGAGAGAGGGGTAAGAGGTGATTTGATTGTGGTCTACCATACCTGCCTGGGGAAGGGCATGGTAGGAGACAGGTGGCTGTACATCTTGTAGACTAAATAAATAAGATATAGGGAGAGCGCAGGGGGGGGCAGAGTGGCCAGCTCTTCTATCTGACAGGACTACAGATAACAAGTTCAGTGTCTGGAAGCTGAAGCTAGTTAATGTCAGTCTAAAAAGAAAGGACTCGTTTTTAATAGTGATGATAACTAATCACTGGAGCAGCTAACACAGAATTGTGGATTTTCTGTTATTTGAAACTGTAAAAAGATGCACGTTTTTGAGTTAAGGAATGCCATAGTCAAGCAGAAGGTATGAACCCGATGCAGGGATTACTAAGTGAGATGCTTTGTCATGGGGCTGCTTTCCTTTTAACCTGCTTCGTTGGGTAACACAGAGATGCATTAATACCAGCAAAGCTCAGTCCTCTCTAGGAATGTGGGCTACCGAAACTCCTAGTCAAATTACTGAAGTATCACTATGCTCACATTTTAACCTGATTTTCCAACCAGCAGCTTTATGACTTGCTTCAAGGAGTCTTTCAGAGCTTGCAAGGTGAGGATTTTGCAGCTTCTGCCTCATAGTCTAATCTTTGGATTCACATGTGTGCACCCAATTTTTTTCCAGCCTTGCCTTAGTTAAGTAGCAAAGGGATTTTCTCCTGTGAAGCTGGGGTTATTTTCAGCCCTGACTCAGTGGTCCTTCTGATGCCCTTTCCAATCCATCCAGTTTTCAAAATGGATTGTTCAAGGACCTGGCCTGAGGACTTCTTTCCAAACATCTTTGCAACAGCAGCAAATGTTTGAACGTTAAAGTAAGAAAGTGAAGGCAAAGATGTAAGAACTTGTGTGGTTGCATCTGGAATAGCTGTCAGTAGGGCCGTGCGAAGCTTCAGTCCCTGATTTGATTCGGCGGAGATTTGGCTCAATTCTGAATCAAATCAGGGGACCCTTTAATCTCTCTGAATCGAATCAGACCCCTCTGAATCGAGTTTGACATATTCGGAAAGATTTGGTGATTTGGACGTAGACACAGCTTTGAATGTTTTTTCTACGTACCTCAAGGTACCAGGTGGTTCGTGACTGCTACAATGCTGGGGTGGATGGAGCGTGCCACAGGAGTGCGGGGTGCTCCCCTGCGCGCTTGGCAGCAGACCCAGAAGTGGACCAGAAGCACTTCTGGGTCTGCCAGAGAGCGCACAGGGGGGTCTTCCCCCCTCACCCGGCTCGGTGACAGGTGCTTCCTGGGTCTGGGGAGGGGCACCTGGGCTCCTCTTGCGGCCGATTGCAGAGGTGCCGCCGCGCATGCGCCGCCCCCCCCCCCCCCCCGGCGTGCTCCCTGGCAGACCCGGAAGTGGACCAGAAATACTCCCAGGTTCGCCACCGAGCACGCGGGGGTCCCCCCGCACTCCTGTGGATCGCTGCATGTGCCCCAGCATCGCAGTGTTCACGAGCTGCCTGGTACCTTGAGGTATGTAGAAAAAACATTTAACGCTGTGTCTATGTCTGCATCGATGATTCTCAGAATCGGCATCGAATCTTTAGATTTGGATTCGACCGAATTGAATCAGGACAGCGATCCAAATCAACAAATCGAATCACTGTCCTTGATTCGGGTCGAATACGAATCGAATAGGGCCCATTTCACACACCCCTAGCTGTCGGGGTACACTGAAGTGTCAGTGCCAGTGTTTTTGTAATTATTTAGATGGAAATCCTCAGCAACTGCCATACTTGGCCTTAAATGAGTTGGGAGCTGCTTTTGTAGTTCACTTGTTCTTTTCATTCAGGTATTTTGTGGAAAGCACCCACCCTGACGTCATTCAGCAGCTTCTGCAGGACAAAGTTATTAGAGGGTGTCGCCTGAGAAATGCTGAGGGAGAAGAAACGGAGCTCATCACCGAGACGTTCACGAGCAAATCTGCTGTATGTTGGGCTCAAAGCCACCTTTTAAAGGGTTTGATTTTTCTGTGCGAGGATGTATGTACGACCAGAACTGTTGAGCAGTCTGCGGTGATTTCTGTTTACGGGGCGCGGGTTCATTTTATCTTTTGTTGTAACGGCTGTTCTGTGCTTCGCTACCGAACCACAGTTCAGCAGAGGTCTCAAAAGCAGACTTTCACAGTGTCCTGAACACCCATTTCAGATCTTGAAAACCAGTGAAGGAGCTGGCGGTCCTTCAACGTCACAAGGACCAGACGCTCAGAACAAACCAGATGTTCCAGCTGACCTGTTTAAGTTTTATGAACAGATGGACAAAGATGAAGAGGAGGAGGAGGAAACGCAGACAGTGTCTTTTGAAGTTAAGCAGGTGAATCTGTGATAGGTTCTTGGCATCTGTGGTTGTGATGGGACCCACTGTCCCCTATTTAATGAGCTAAGAGATGGGCTGGATAAGGTGACCAATATTGAGGTGCTCGCTCGCTCTGCCAAAGGAAGTCACACAGACCAGAAGGGGCTCCTTCCCTCTGTGCGAGCTGCTTGAAGGAAGGGCTCATTCAGAACCCAGACAGCCTGGTTTCTGGTCTCGCGCTCTGCCGTGTCGCCCTTACTCCTGATGCCAGCCCAAATGACCAGGGTAGGGTACTTTTGTAGATTGGTGCTTCAGTCAAATGCTTCCCTTGTGTTACAGTGTGGAAGCGATGGGGTGTGAACTGTTTGATTTCACGATTAGTCTCAGTCTTTCAGATTGTATATTCTTTGGGCAAACGATCATATTTGTATCATATATACATGACAGAGCGTGTCAGTTCCTGACAGATGCAGGATATGAATTGTCCACGGTTGAGAGGCTTTTTACAAAAGTTTTTGTAAATCCATTGTAAACGTGGCCAGTCTAATGGCGGAAGCATTAAAAAGAGAACCTGTTGCTGTTTAGGTCAATTATTGCCATTTCCCAGCAGTTAAAATCAGCGTGCCATTGTGCTAGAATAACTATTACAGGGGAGTCAAGATTTCATAAATCCCAGCTGTGTAGCTGGTGCTGGTCTTTGGCTGAATAACGGGCAGAAGAGGCTCTGTTTTAAGTTTTTGTTGGAGAGTCGACTCCTCCTTGCTACCTCACAGTGTAGATTTGTCTTAGTTGCGTGAAAGAGACCCTCTCAGAAGGACTGTACTGCTAACCCCTCCGATTTGAATAGCCTACTTTTTCATTTGTCAGGCAACTTTCTCCCCTTTTTTTTTCTTAATACTTATCTTGTTGTTTTGGGTTTTTTTACTGGGTTGGTCACCAGAAAAGCTCTTGGAGGTACATTTTAACCGCTAGCAAGGGATGCAAAATAAACTTGCTTTCACACAGGTCCTGTATAAACAGTGGGTATATAAAAAATAAAAAAGCAGGATTCAGAAGTGTTTTTGAACCTTGCTTTCCTTTTCAGGAAATGATCGAAGAGCTTCAGAAGCGTTGCATTCATCTGGAATACCCCTTGCTGGCCGAGTATGACTTCAGAAATGACTCAGTGAATCCGGACATAAATATTGACCTGAAACCCACAGCTGTTCTCAGACCTTATCAGGAGAAAAGCCTGAGGAAGATGTTTGGGAATGGGCGAGCTAGATCGGGAGTTATTGTCCTGCCGTGCGGTGAGTTACTAGTGTGCGTCTTGGCTGGCTGACGTGACATCTTCCACAGTTGGTCGCACTCTTACATTTGTAATGCACTAACTTTTGAGCAGTGCATCAGATCAGTTCTAAAATTTCCAGAAATGTTTTAGATATAAGTGGGCAGAGCACTGCCTGTTTTGGTGGGAAGGGGAAATGGAAGCAAGAGCACCTGATTAGCAGATACGCCAGCCCCCCTGCATCTGCTAATATCAGTTGTTCAGGAAGCTGGTTCATAGCAAACATTAATTCCTTCCAGCATACGAATGCTTCTCTGTCTCAGCTGTGCTGATCCACCCAATGCAGGTTGAAAAATGTCAACACCCTTGACGATTTGTCTCCCAGAAAGAAAGATGATAAATGATGGAAGTGTAAGGAGGTGGGAAAGAAACTACACAGATAATTACTTAGCTTGGCGGCAAAGGGGAGGACAGGAAACTGGTGGCAGGGGAGATAGGAGGTTGTTATAGCATATCTGGCATACTGAGGAGAGTCTGGGATGGAACGAAGGGTACAGATATCCACCAGTATGATGGAGGGAAAGGAGGGAGGAAGAGATGGTGTAGGAAGGTGGAGGGCACGTAGAGTTCCTGGCATGATGGAGAGCTGGGATATTTGCAAAGTATTACTGAAATAGGACGGGAAGTGTGGAGAACATGCAGAGCTTGTGGGATGGTGGAATGGAGAGGGAAGGAGCCTTTGGGATGCTAGTTAAATAAAAGGTTACTGAAGCCACATCCTAACAGCAGCTTTGGAATGAAGAAACTGGTAAAATCAGCTCGTCTTGTTGCAAAGAGCATTCATTGTAGTTTTGCTGAGCCCTTCTGGCTTTTCTGCCAGGCACCCTTATGGACGTGTGGTTTTTGTATGTACCTGTTTGTATGCACAGGCTGTGTCTTTTAATTCTTAAAGCCACAGACAATGAGAAATGTGTCCTTCTCCAGCTCAGCTCACGGGTAACTATTTTCCAGTCTCGTTCCTCCCTTCTCTCTCACTTTCCTTTGAGCATGACAATTGCTGTAGGACAGTTATGAATGATGATTGCTTTTCTTTTTCTCTAGGCGCAGGCAAGTCTCTCGTCGGTGTCACAGCTGCGTGCACGGTCCATAAGCGGTGCCTGGTACTTGGCAACTCTGCAGTGTCTGTGGAGCAGTGGAAAGCCCAGTTCAAGATGTGGTCCACCATAGATGACAGCCAGATCTGTCGATTCACCTCAGATGCCAAAGACAAGCCCATTGGGTGCTCGATTGCCATTAGCACGTACTCCATGTTGGGGCACACAACCAAGAGGTCTTGGGAGGCAGAGAGAGTAATGGAGTGGCTTAAAAGTCAAGAGTGGGGCCTCATGATCCTTGATGAAGTACACACCATACCTGGTAAGGGAGTAGCATTACGAAGCCCCTCTCATCAGACCCATGATTAACGCAGTGCTTCTTTAATACTGTTTCCCTGTTCATTTCCTCAGGATATTGAATGTACTTCTAGCAAGCTCCTAGTTTAGTGCTTGAAACATTAACTATATCCACAAGTTATTTGGTACGGTTGGAGCAATGCTGATTCTGTCTGGGAAATGTAAGAGAACAAGGATTTTTGTAGGTGGTATTTTGTATTGGACAAACTGTATGGCTGGAACAGATTTATATTATTATATTGCAAATGTAGTATTGTTATATTATATTGCAAATGCAATACGTTCTCCTTCAGGTCATGCATTGCATTCTGGTCTAATTGGGTCACCTGAAGCAGAATGCATTGCAACCATGCAGCGTGTGTCTGTCCCAACCATGCAGTTTGACCTGTAAAAGCTATCACCAGCATCAGTCCTTGCCTCTTGTCTATTATTTGATACATGTTTTTCAGCCCTTCTGTGAAGATCAATTCCCAGAGTCCTCTCAAAACAATGCAACACATGTTGTTCTTCGTAGTGGGAGGAGTAGTTGTATTAAAGTTAGATTTTCCTTAATTGCAGCAGTAACAAGTGTCATATCTGGGCGAGTGGTTCTCATGCGGTGATCTGGAGGACAGGATGGTCACGCTGCTGGCTCTTAAACTACAATCAGATACTTTAAGACCACTAAATGCTCATTTACTGTTCTTTGAAGCAGTTTGTCATGTGGATGTTGTACCACTGTGAATAAGGGGAGTGGATCTGCATTCTCTTAAAGGGAGATGGAAATGTCATAAACTAAATCCTTTTTATGGTCACACATCTAGACAAGGAGACTTTTAAAGTCCATTTCCACCCAGTAAAATGCTGTGAATACTTACAGCAAAACTATGTCTTTGACCAACACAGCTACAACCAGCACCCCCGAAACATGGTGAATACTTGGGGTAACTTGTACCCACAAGTTGCTTGTGTTGGATATCGTTTTGTAAACTGCCAGGTGAGAATGGGATGATGGAAGGGAAGAAAGGAGTGCTAGTGATGGGGAGGCACTCTGGGCAGAAATGCCCCACTAATCCCCCATCTGCTTTCTGCTATATTTTACACAGTTGATTTGGATGCAACTGTTATGTCTTGGCAGAAATGGGAGAAGTGGGAAAATATAAAAATAGGCGTTGTTTGTTGATTGGCAGCCCCTTTAGGGTAGGAATATTCTGCTCTCATAGTTCTCTTGGGTTCATCCCCTCTTACACTTAAAAGTCAGGTAGAGAGTATAGGCTCTGCTGCTAGCTACCATAATGCTAAATGCTTGAAATACCTCAGGTAGAGGACAGAGGTTTTGTAGGCGGAGGATGCCGTGGTAGCCTAGGAGCTTCTAGAAGTAGAAGCCCCGATCTCTTCCTTTCTAATCTGGTTCTGAAATGGCGTGTGGCGTAGACCGAGTCCCCTGACAGCTCTGCGTCTGTTCTTCTAGTGGGGCAATGGGAATAATGCAGAGATCTGAGGACTCCTGTGTTTCGTAGCGTGCTGTGAGTGTGTCACAAACTGCAGGTAGTCTGAAATGACCATTAAATGAGGGTCCTGCCTGAACTGGATCAGCATTGCTTTGCACAGTGCTCATTGTTTCGGCACACAGCTCTGCATCTTTTTAGGTGGAAGGTCCGTGTCCTTGCAGTGCTGGCCTTTTTTAATCCATTTGTAAAACCAAAATGAAATTTTCTGTTCTGTATTTCCTAGCAAAAATGTTCAGGCGTGTGCTCACCATTGTACAAGCTCACTGCAAACTGGGACTGACGGCTACCCTGGTCAGGGAGGACGATAAAATCGTGGACTTGAATTTCCTGATTGGCCCAAAACTCTATGAAGCCAACTGGATGGAGCTGCAGAACAATGGTTACATTGCCAAAGTGCAGTGTGCTGAGGTGATGCTCTGCTCTTTATTACCACTCGAGTACCGTGCTGTATTTTGCAGTCTACAGTCGTTTGCAGGCAGAGCTATCCCGTTCCATATCTTGAATGGAGAGAAGCATTTGTCCTTATGAAACTGCAGCCCTGTTGAGATACTGTAGTTCAGGCCAGGCTGTCCCTCATCATCACTAAATTCATGATCACTCCTGCACGGTGCATTGCGTGGTATCACGACTGATTAACGTGCTCATTTTTGCGGCTGGTCTGGTAATGCCGTGTTGATGTTTTCTGGCCCCACCTTCAGACATGTTCACAGAGGCCACTGTGCTGATGTAGTGCTGCGATCCTCGGTAGTCAGGTCAGAAGGGGCAATTTTGACCGTCTACTTTGACTTCCTGCCTGGCAAGGCTTTCAAGCCTGGTGGTACGTGTTGAAATGGGGGTCTAATTTTTTGACTGGTCCCCAATTTTGATTTAAAGACGAGATGGGATGGTGCTTATCACAGCCCTTGGGAAAGCTGATCCGGTGGTTAGATGTGAGTGCTTTATTTCGAGTTCAGCCTGGCGTGGCCGTGGTTTCTAGTCACTGGAGTTTGTTAATCATTGAAACGTGATCGTATGATCTGCCCCTTAGTCACTGAAGCAGACGAGAAAAGTGAATCTGAGCTGTCATGTCAGTGAAGGGAAAACTTACGTCTTACACATTTTCTTCAAAAGCTTGAGGATCTCATGTAATTGGAGCATGGCAGAGAGACCCGGAGTCGAGTGACAGTGACAGCGGTGGGTGGGGTGGAAGTCCTCCAGGGTCCTTCGGGTTTCCTGATCTGTCAGTCCACGCAGCAGGGCTGGGAGGTGAAATGTTCTCACGGGCCACGGACAGACGTGCTGTTTGAAGCACCCTAGACAGAGTGCAACATCGACAGCCGAACAAGTGCTTCAAAAGTGATCTCTGAGGAAAGAGGAACTTTGAAACATGTCATTTTGATGCACTTCATGAAACAACCGCCCCGTCCAACCATCCTCCAGCACCCTGCAGTGCTCCTTTCCCTCACGTTGCAGAAGGAGGAGGCAGGGTTAGACAGCCAGCGAGCGCTGTCCTTTGCGGCTGTCCGGAGGCCGAGGCATGCAGGGTTTCCTGCTCTCCTGGCCCTGGCTGGTGCCGGGCTACTGCATGCCGAAGTGCTCATGTGGGGCTGGGGGTTTACATAATGCTGAATTGTGCAGGACTCGCAGTGCTTCAGGGCTTGGAGCACTTCGCACGCGTGCCTGGCCCTGGCTTCAGGATTTAGAGCGCCCTTCCTCCTGCGTTGATTTAACCTTAAATAAAAAGCTGGAGGGTGAGAGGGAGTCACTGTCACAGCGGTTTCCATTTCCAGCTCTCAGACCATTGCTGTAACGAGGGAGTTCTGAAACAAGCTAATTTTCCTTAAAGTAAAAACAGGTAAAATCCCCAAGCAAACAATGTCCATGGACCTGTCTGCAAAGGTGTCTGAGCTCTTGGTCCTTTCACTAATATCCTTCCTGAGCTCTTGGGAGGACTGTCAGGTTGTAGCACACATGCCCCTGCCCTGTCTACTAGATCTGTTCCATTAAAACACGGTTGGCCAGGCTCTTCTTGTGTCTGCTTAGCTACAAGATAGTAAATAGTAAAGCTGACCAAGAGGCCTGAAAACACACAAAATTATTTCTCACTTGTCAGCATTTTCCCTCGCAAAAATCACTTTTTCCCCTTGCAAAAATAAAATGCTAGAAAGTGACAGGTCTTTTGAAAAAAGAATGACCGTTTCATGGCCATTCTAGATAGATGAACAATTAGACAGACCATCAAGTGAAAATGAATCGAGCTGGCAATGTCACTTCAGCCATGAGCAGGTAATTCGGTTTCAGGAGCAGAGTTTACTTGCTCTGTGTCCTGCCTGGTCATTCCCGACTTGCCTTGGGCAGAGACCGTACCGTAGTGTGAGCTCTCCAGGTGTGCCGTGCGACTTTGTGCAAATTCATGTTCTTTAATGTGTGAGACTTCTGGGGGGTGTTAATTTAGGATCTGTATTCTAAGAAAGACAAGGAGTTAACAGTGGGAAGGGGCAAGTTTCTGTGCCTAGAACAGGCTTGCATTTTCCCTGTGCACCAGTCTGGTTTTCCTCCTCCCGCTGTGCAGAGGCGGGGTGTCGTTTCACACCTTGCCCGGTCTGCTCTGGGCTGACGGTGCCGCGGGGCTGTTCCTGACTTCAGATCCTCCTGGTAACAGTAGAGGGCAGTGCTAGCATTCGTCCGGGTGCTCCCTTTCCGCCTACAACACGGTGAGGAGCAGAATGTAAAATTGCATTAGTGGCTGCAGTGAGTGCACGTTAGGGGTTTCTGCCAGCTGATAACTATTTCCAGTAACTGTTTTCAGAAGATTGCTCCCCACTGCTATAGAAAGGTCAGGCCTTGAGGGCACGTTTGCAAACCTCTGAATTGACGAGATTAGTGGGGATGAGCGCTCAGCTTTGCCCGTTCTAGACTCTCCAGTCAGTGTGCGAACTGAAGCTGATGTGCTCGATGGCAGCAAATCCTGCACTGTGCTCTTGAAACCTTCTGTCTTCAGATATTTTTTTATTCTCATGCTCCCTTTTCCTCCTGGGAATATTCACAGGAATGAGGAAGTTTACCTGTCATGCAAGGGGAGGGCCGGAGCAGTAGTCTACTTCATACTTACTTCATCGTTCCTCCAGGCTGGTGAGACAGCAAGCTTCTTCCCCAGTTACTGTGGCCTACCTGTTAAGTTGTGCCCAGGAAAAGCACTCTTGCTGGCTAAGAGAACAATTATTTAGCCACATCTTCCATCCCATGATACAAACGTTGGGTTTAGGCTGAGCAGGTTTGTTTTTAAACTTCCTTAACTGACAGTACTTACTAACCAAGTGTTCATTTGCTAGTGTGGTTAACACTTTTATGCGGCACTGCTGAGTGGAGCAGAAGACTGAGTTTCTAGTCTGGTTTAGCATTGAGGTAGGACCACTACATTTCAGGCAAGTTCCTCAAATTCTGTTGATGATCTGTAATCATACGGACTGGAGAGAGGTGGGTAGCTGTGTTAGTATGAAGTCAGGCAGAAGACGGGGCAGGCTGGCACCTTAGAGACTAACACATTCAGAAGGGCAGAAGCTTTCCTCGGTAACAGCTGACAAAGGGTATGGACTTGTGACAAAGTAGATTGGCTATTTGCTTTTTGTCTACAGTGTGGAAAACAACATGCCTTTCAGCCGACCCTGGAACTCAGGACATTTCCTAGTGCTTTAGTAGTGGTTGGGGAGACCCTCCAAACACGACTTGTTAGACCCAAAGTGGATTCCTAAAAGAAATGCTTGGGCGCATGGCAGACTTCAGTAGGTGAAACTGTGGCCTGTTACGTAGGAAGTCGGACTGCTTGATCGTATTTCTCTCTCAAATCTGACTGTTAAAGTTTAAAAGCAAAAACCGAGATTTTTTTTGTCGTTTTTCATGTATTCGTTTGTTTCGGTTCTTTTTCCCCCAAACGCCTAGGTTTGGTGCCCCATGTCTCCCGAGTTCTACAGAGAATACGTCGCCATCAGAACAAAGAAGCGGATCCTGCTCTACACCATGAACCCAAACAAATTCAGGGCGTGCCAGTTCCTGATTAAGTTTCACGAGCGAAGGAATGACAAGATCATCGTGTTTGCTGACAACGTGTTTGCCCTGAAGGAATATGCAATCAGGCTGGGAAAGTAAGTGATAATGAAGTGTTCCTTCGTGGGAGCACGTTTCACAAATTTCACTTCCAGCATTTGTCCAAGAAAAGCGAATAGGAAACGGCGGCAGGCCTTTTTAGGTGCACTTCAGTGTCTGTTGCTGTGGGTGGCATTATTCTAAGGTGAGCTGTGTGTTCAGTACCCGCCATGGAGGAATCCTAAACCTGTGTGGGGACTTCATAGTAGTCGCAAGGAAATGGTTTAGGGATCAAGAGAAGTGCCTAAAGGCAGGCTTATTTGGACGCTGAGCTCTCTGTGACTGTCCGTACTGTAATCTCCTCTCCCCCGTATGAATGAGGAGCACTTGGCCCACAGGATCTTTGGGGCTCTCAGCACCTTCCCTGCTTGCTTCCCCCCCTCACAGGTCCTGCAGCAGACACATCTTAAAGCGAGATGTTTCATTTTGGGGGGCACAGAGGGGAGGCTTCTTACATAGTCTGTGCCGTGCCTGGTATGTTGGGGTTTCCAGGCACTAATGGGATACGGCTGACAAACAAAATGGTAGCACCATTCGGCGAGAGACCCGTGAGCTTCTGTGCTGCCTTTGAAGGGCTCTTTGCATGCAGTCCAAGTACAGAAGCAAAGAGCAAGCCCAGCTGAACTTTGCTACGCAGCATCAGCATTCTTGCAGGATTGGAGAGGGACAGTTGAGGAGAGTTCTTGATCTCCTCCTTGTGTACGGTCCTTCTCCAGGAGTGGATTCGGGGAAGCCAGCTCATTTGTCACAACCCCAAACTGGAGCCATTGTGTTCTCCTTTGCTGTTAGAAGCGGTGCAGAGAGAGCACTGGACTTTGCAAGCCTCCGTTGTCCAAGGAGTTTCCAGTAGTATTTCTGGCCCCAAAAACAAACTTCCTCCTTATCCCTTTCCAAAATTTGTCATGAGTTTTGACCGGCATTCGAATACCCCTGCTCATTGTGATTTCAAATAATAAGCAGGGCTAACAATGCTGGAAGATTTCCAAATTCAGAACTCGTGGTCTTTCATCGTTATCCTTAAACCCGTCTGGACAGAGATTAGCTAGGATGATGCTTCTGGAATGCTATTAATGCTGTGCAGTGTTCCATAGAAAATAATTAATAAAACATTGGATAGGGAAGGCTGGATGGTTTGCAAAATAGCAACTTGTACAGTGGTAGGCTGGGAAGATACGTGGTAACTGGTGTAAGAGAAGATTTATGGCAGAACTACTAGGTCTTTGCTCAGTTGCGTTTCAAGTGATTTCTTCCTTCACATCGCGGTCCGCAGATTTGGAGAGGATCCCGTGATCATGCAGCTGTCGCACCACGAGAGAAGGGTTGCAGTCTTGAAGGATTCTCCCCTTTGGTTAGAGCCCTTTTCTCAGAATAGCTCTAACCCTGCTGTCCGAGCAGTTAGCCTGTCACCCAGCCCGTTCTAGATCAACGCTTCCTAACCTGTTCGCCCCCCAGGCTGGATCAGTGGTGCCAGGTTTGTCTACCGGCCCGATCCAGTCTGTGTGTGTGATCCAGCGCACAGGCCCTGGGATAGATCCAGCTGCATAGAGCTTGGAAATTTGGCATTGGTGTGGTGGCAGTGTTAATTGCCACCGCTCTCGCTGCCACATTTCTGGACCCATGTAGGCCAGATGACATGACTCCACGGGTCAGAGCTGGTCTGCGGGCTGGGGATTGAGCACCCCTGTTCTAGATCATATGATGCCTCTTCTTGCACAGTCACGGGATCATCATTACATCTACAAGTTGTCACATCTCAATCAAGCCTTTCTGGGGCCTGACAGGTCTGAGATGTGTATTGAGTGTAAAAGCATCCTCGAGGCTTGGTATTTCCCCAAGAGTAGGGAGACGCCGTGCTGTGACTTTTGGTTATAATTCAACATTTTGTGTTCTGTCCTGGATACGGAGTGCCCTGGTGCTCATTAGTTCATCACTATAATCCCAAGTGATGTATGGCCAGGGGAGGATGAGCATCCTTGTTGTCTCATTTGATGGGTTCAATCAAAGTAAAAATGGGCAAATGTTTGACCAGCTCTGTGGTCTTGGGAAGCAGTTCTTTATAGATGTGCAAGGTACAAGTGCTTTAATTCTAGTTTAGCAGTGAGATGTTTTCTGTAAAGTTTGGGATTAAAAAAAGCATCATTTTTGTATCCTAAAATAAAATGATAAATGAAAGCTTAAAGTAAGTACGCTGTTGGCTCCAGCACGGTTACAGTGTGCCACTAATCATTTGACTGTTTAAACAAGTTGGGTACTATTGGCCATTTCGTTGTTAGTCGCAGCTAAAGAGAAGATTATTAATAAAATACGATAAGTAGAAGAATTGGATTAGAAGAGAGTTGGCCTGCTTGGCAATGCAGAAATAAGGTGAAGCTTGCTCTCAAGGAGGCATTAGAAAGCCCTCACCAGGGAGTCAGACTTTCAGGCTGTGCATTGGGTTCTTGTTCAGCTGTGGCAGGGATATATGCCAGCCCTCAGACACTCAGCTCAGGGGTTTTGAGAGGGGGGGTGGGTTCAATAAAAGGGAGTGTGAACACAGTTGTGCAAGCCTGAAAGAGAAGGGTGATCTGGGGGCAATCCACATCTACAAGCACAAAGAATTGGAGTGTCTCATTTCTTTCCTCTATCGTTTTTCCTTTCAACTTGAAGGAGGTAGCCTTTGCTGCTCCCATCTTGAGACCGGAGGCAGCCGAAGTGTGAACTTCCCACTTCTGTCAGCCTTTGCGTGTGCGCTGGCCAGGCGTGCTAGGGAAGTCTGGCTGCTGGTCTGCTGGGGAATGCCAGATTGTGCTGCTTACGTACATAGGGCGCTGTGGATGTCAAACTGGTCGCACCACCTGATCTCCAGAGGTAATTGGAGACAAGAGTTTCCAACATCCATCTTGAGGCACTGCGGCTTTCATTAAAAGGGAAACTCAGATTCTTAAGGATTCAACCAGGAAAAACCTAGAGGGACACAGCTGTCCATGTGCTGACTCAGTGGATTTGTGGAACAAAAAAGCCCTGCCTTTGTATTTAAACAGCTGCCTCCCATCTTTCATGTAGGCTTAGCAGATATATTCAGTCCATTGATCTGCAGTGCCGTCGGCGCACATCAAGTGAGCACCATTTGCGACTGTCAGGAATTATTTCTGCAGAGAATGGAAAGACGTCTACCTCTGGGAGATCGGGTTGCTCCAGGTGGTGGGTCAGCCTCCCGTTGGGCAGAGTTACTGTCGAGGTGAAAGGGTTAGCGAAGCCGTGTTGTATCTACTTCCATTTCTATATTGACCTCAAAAAGGTAGCATTTGTATATGACAGGCTCTTTTATTGCATAGTCTGTGGGTTGAAGAAAAGCTGTGCACTTCCATGGTGCATCAGTTATCCAAACATAATGCAAACGATGCTTGGGAAGTACACGATCCCGTTCGTGCACTGTAACAGCACAGCGATGGGCTAGCTCCCGTTGTTTCACGGCTTTTAATAACAGCTCTGTGACAGCTGCTTCCCCTTCGCTGTTTCCGGCACAGTTAAAGTACAGGTAGTTCTGAACTAGATGGTGCGATGGAAAGACGCTGTGCCGTTTATACCCTTAACCAGTGTTGTTCCAGCGTGAGCAGGGCGTTTGGGATGGCATTATGTAATTAAGAAAACGGCGCACTTCTTTGGTACGGATGTAGGCAGAGTTACAGTCTCATGCCCCCTTTCCAGAGTCTCCGAGCACCTAGGAACAAACAGCTGTGAGAAGTCTTGCTCTGATTACCATGCACGCCTGTTCTCTCCTTTCAGACCTTATATATATGGTCCCACTGCGCAAGGGGAAAGGATGCAAATCCTGCAGAACTTCAAGCATAACCCAAAAATCAACACCATCTTTATTTCCAAGGTAAATGAAGGCATTCAGTGTGACACGGCATCACCTTGAAAAAGACTGTATTTTAAAGAAACAGTAAGTTACACGTGCCCTCTTATTTTTGATGCACTTTTTATTGCAGCTCACCAGGTTTGTTGTTCGTTAAGCCTTCGTTTGTTACTGTGGGAAAATAGCTTGTTGCTCAGAGGCTGCTTCTGTATTGTAGGTAGGTGACACATCCTTTGACCTGCCAGAAGCCAATGTTCTGATTCAGATTTCGTCCCATGGGGGGTCTCGAAGACAGGAGGCTCAAAGATTGGGACGAGTGCTGAGAGCCAAAAAAGGTAAATGAGGTTGTTCTTGGGCTCTGGGCCTTGGGGTCCAGGACGGCATATTAGGAACTCTTAATCGTTTAAACTGAACCCTGAAATGTCAGTGCCACATACGTTTTCCACTTGCACCATATGGCAAACTGCTGTTGTGTTGACATTGCCCAAGTAAGGCCAGTGCCATGTGTGTAAGTCACAAGGCATCCTAAATGTGCCGCACTGAGGAGCCATCTTGTCTTCCCTCCTGTCTGTGTTTCCCACTACGTACCCTCCTCTCATAGACTTCTTCTTTTTTCCTTTACCATGACCAAGAAGTGTCTTCCCCTCTTCATATTTTTGTTCCACTTCCCTTCTTTTCTCTCCTTCAGCCCTATTTCGGTGTCCCTGCTGGAGTGCCATCACCCCACGGCCCTGCTTTGCCCTTTCTCCTGCTTCTTTTGCTTTTCCTTCAAAAGCATATTAAGGTTAATGCCTTCAAGGATGGCCCTGCCCATTGTGGGCACGGGTCCAGGTCCAGAGTATTGATGCCACAGTCCCAGACACGTGATGGTCGCATTTGGTTGCAGGAAGATCTCTGTTAAAGGGCCGGTTCTTTGCTTGCTTGTTTCCTCCGGCACGTTGCGGTGCGGTGGGTACCGATGAACTGCCCTCTCCCTGTTTCTCCCGTGTAGCTCCCTGGCATCAGTTTAGATTTCATAGACATCAGACATCAGGGCTGGAAGGGACCTCGGAAGATCATCGAGTCCAGCCCCCAAGATTGTAAGCTGTTCGGAGCAGGGGCTGCCGTCCTTTGTACAGCACCTAGTACAGGGTGACCCAAGGTCCTTTTGCCCCTCAGTCTCAATGGTGATAAATGGAGAGCCCAACTCCTCCCCCTCTGCGTGTCGGCGGCTATGGCGTATATAATATAGCTTAAAATACATTTACCAATCCAGTGTCTGGTACCTTACACTTTTCCCCACATAGAGCCATTGCTAGTGAGTTACTTAAACGATCTATTTTGGGGTTGGTCACCTTTGGGAGACAAGAAGATAGGGCTTTTTGCAGTGCCTAAAGGCGAGGTGTCCACCGTGACAAACTCCTGTCAGACATAGCCAGCCAGCGATCTTGTTGGTAACGTCTGCAGAGGCCAAAGATTTGCCTAGATGTGGAGCTGGGATTATATAGCACTCGTAGGCTGTGTAGTGCGCAGCAGAGGGGAGAGGCTGGTGCTGTGGGAAATGGGCCGGCACCACCACAACTTGAGAAAATTAATCTGTGTTTCCTAGATACGCTCCTTTAATGCCGAGTGAGACCTCGTGTAGGATACTGCTCCCTCTTCCCAGCGGCCCCTTTAATAAAACCCTTCCTTTGCTTTCCCTGCCTCTTGGCTTAAGGGCTTTCCCACCTATGTGCCTCCACACGTGGGGATGGGGACTCCGTTGTTCCTTTTACCTCCTCCTCGGAGCGTGTTGTAATGGTCTCGTTATCTTGATGTGCCTCTGGCTTCTTATCGCTGTGTTCAGGTGGTAGAGGACTTGGTGGCTGGAAGCTAGTGCAGTCTTTGGTACTGAACTGGCCCCTGAGCGTTTGGTTTCAGACGAGCCAGCAGGAGGGCCTGCCGCCTGAGCCACTAGGCCCGTATCACTGGTGGCAGGAGGCAGAAACTCCTGAACCAGAACTTCCAAATCTCCTCCTTTCTTCTCAGGAGGTGAAGGAGTGACTCGTACCTACCACCAGCATGGCTTTCAGCTTGAAAAATGGGATAAGCTTGTTTGCGAGGCTTATAAGAATATGTTGTCAAATTGATTTTGTAACGGCATAATCCTGATGTTTGAAACTGTCATTCTTTGAGCTCTGGATTTGGAGCTTAGAAACTTCTGAATGGCAAATCTCTAAGTGATTCAGTGCTTAACATTTATAATCGCCTGAAACATCAAACTTCATTTTGGGTATTAACATTGTTTTCTGTTGTGAAAGACCATTCTCTTTTCATACATATGTGAGTTAAAAAAAAAAAAAAAAAAAAGTCTGCAGTTTTGGCTGCAGTGGAGGAATACCATTTTCCTAACTAATTAGAAGGCATCTAATCGGTGATGGGTTTAGGTGATCCCTGACTCTTAAATGCCAGCTCCACCCATCTTGCCTTTGCAGCTCACCATAGTTTAAATTGCATACCACAAGGTAGGAGGTGCATTCGTGCTTGTGTTAAAGCTGTACGTTGCTGCTCTTGAAGAAGCGAGCAAAAGTTTCTTCTCCCTCACAGAAGACCTGGATGGAGGACTTGACGATATGGTTAATCCCCACAGTTGCTGTCCAGCTTGAGTAACGCTGGTAAAGGATTTCATGTTACTTTGCAGACAGAGATTGTTTT